AATCATTTTCTCCTTGATTTATTGTAGAAGAGGGCGAAAGCACACTTCCCGGGGCCCAAAAAGTCTGAATCAAATCATGTAGCAATGCACAGCCTACACGAACCTTCGAAAAGTATCGGCACAATGGTTTTCTCGCAGGTTCTGAAGCAAATAGCTGTTCATCTTCTAAAGCTGTTTCGTGCCGAATGAAACTAGCAAGAGGAGCAGTAGATTACAACCAACAGAAAAAACACCAGCTAAGTAGTTCTCAGTATTGTAACTAGACAAATTCAACAAACAGAAATTACGTATGCGCACCCTTTAGGAGATCATTCGACATAATTTTTAACTCTCACTCGCTACCTGACATTGATGGTATGTATTTCTATTTTATGTCTCAAAAAGCTGTGCTAATGCAGCGAAACGTCTTAGTTTCAGATCTTATGCCTCTGTACGTCCGCTATTCACGTAGCGAGGACAATTTCGCGGCGTCAAAAAGATTCAAAACTTTTCCTTCGCACCAGGAACAATGACCTAGGTTGGCAGTTCTGCATTGGACAGTAGATCATCAATATAATATTCCGGCTCTCTGGACTTCAGACCATCCCGCTGGCTCGAGCTCTCCACCGAAACTCCTGGTAGTGAGACTCTCCGTGAACCTCGCGGCACATTTTTTCCCTGGTCTGTGGGTTCGCGCTTCTGTCCTGACTTCAAAATGGCTCAGGGAGAGTTCGTGGGTGTTTTGTTCCCGATATTTTGTCATTAGAAACCAGAAATTAGAGATAGCGAAGCAAGAGGCCGAGACCGAACAAGATGCAAAAAATCGATTGGTTGCTATGGTTTTAGGTACTTTGCCCAAATTGGCTTTGCAAATTAACAGACCACAGGATGTGGAATTGAGATGAGCTGCGAGATGGATTAGCTATGGATATTAAGAACCCGGGCCTTTCTAGGTGCTCGCTGTGAAAGAAAACGTTGCAATCATCATTTCTGTAGCTCTCTCTCGTGTTTGGCATTTCATTGAAAAGGAGCGACTAACTTGGGGCCAGTAACTTAATCCATAACTCTATGAATAGATAGTCTCTTACTTGAGAATCATATATAACTCTTAGAATTCTTGCAATTTTCAGGTTGAACGATTGAAGCGGAAGGAGTAAAGTTGAGAGCTCCTCGAAAAGGGGCTGTCCACTGAACTGATACCCCTCATCTACTATCAACGACATTCCCTTCTACGCAATTGTAGATATTTCCATACCACTACAGCGCACCTTGGATATGAGACGAATCTGCTGGACATCTGTCCTCAGGAGAAATAGAAAAGAATTAAAAGGAAAGTAAATGATCAAAAATTCCGTATGCATCTTAATATGTGATGTCTACTGAGGTTCCCCGCGGGTGGAGGGATTGTTAGTGAAATAGTGAAGTTTATCGATCAAATACCTAGGTAGGTCCTGGTGGTTTTAAACTTGTAAGCACGGTATGAATTTATAAACAATAGTAATTTCTGTTTAGTCAAAGTAGAATGGGGCGTATAGCAATGGATGAATTTAGATATACACCTTAGTGGTGGGGGTAATATAGCCAAGCCACAACTCCCAGTCTAGCGACATCTCCAGATTCCATACAATGTGTCGGCCAGCTTTCAGCCACAACCTTGAGCAGCAACGGTGAAGTTGTCAAGATATCACCATGATTGGAAAATGCGAATACGTTCACTAACGCCCTTAATTCCTTGAACCATTGTCCCACGCTCGCGATAACACGCGAACTTAACCCACGATGTCGAATTTCCGGCGCGCCCCAGTTGGGGGTAACAATCGAAACAGCATCCTAAGTTCTTTGAGAGCTACCGAAATGGTTGGCAGCAATGGCAGCAAGGCTGTTCTGCCTGCTGAAATAATATCTACGATTCTTGACTACCTTCCGATTCCCGATCTCATGAGCTTTGCGCGCACATCGAAACGAATGCAAGAAATGGTATACGAGGATTCGCGATGGGTATCGAGACTGAAATCCATGGGTGTGTGGAACGAAGGAGAAGCGAGGAAAAGATTCGAAGAAATACTGAGGAAAAAGCGAGAGATGGTGAGAGTAAGGGCAGAAGAGGATTCTAAGAGAATTGGGATTGGTGTTGGTGTTGGTGGAGCTGGGGGAGGAAGTGGGAATGTTGCTGGAATGAGGAAAACTAGCACGACGTTATTCGATGCGGGAGAGGAAGAATTACGACAGCAGCGGAGATCGGCAGAATTTGCTTCGAAGAACATTAGAGGCCTTTCAGATGGATTTGAGACGTTGTCAATATCAGCGCAGGGTCATATGAGTCTACCACCCCCACCGCGAGCTCGAACGCCTATGCAAGATCCGGAAGCTTTGTTGAACGTATTTGCGGAAGCTAGATCCATACGTGGGTCTGCGAGGCACGAATATGGGAAAATATATGCAGCACTAGCACCTTTCTATTACGATTTGGCTAGATCTAGGAGTCATGTTGATCCGGTTTTATTTCGAGTTTACAGAACACCAGAACAACAGGCACAAATGCTGGCTCACCTACAAGTGTTCTCGCGGAGTGACTGGGCTCAAGGGTGGAGACAACGAGAGGAAAGGTTAATCACTATGACGGGCATATTTGAGACTGCAGTACTGCGAGAATTCGAGCAGGGCTATGAGGTGTGGGATATTGACGGTAGGATGCGGCGGTATGCTCATGTGTTGGGTGTACTAAATGGGGGGCATGCTGGTATAGAATTATTCGTCCAGAAACACCCAGTATTCTCCGACCGCGATATTCTTGGTAACTCGATGGATTGTATCAACCAAGCAGCTTCTGAAGGTATAGCGCTTGAGCCGTCAAGGGCATTTCTGGAAAAGCTGTCCAAGAAAGTGAATGAACAAGCAGATATAATCGACAGGGTCTTTCCTCCAGGGCAGGACGTTTTACAGATATTTTTGGATAAAATCGCAGAGGATATTCTTATGGAATACGTTACTCCTTTATTCGACGAATCCCATGAAAGAAGCATTGCATCTTATCTACAGGCGGTTTCTGGTATTTTTGAACAAAGTATGCAATTTGCATCTACACTCAGGTCCACCAGGAATTCAGGAAAAGACTTTTTCGATAAAGTTAAAGCTGTTATAGCGAGAGTATTTGAACCTCACGTAGATCTCTACCTGTCAGAAGAACTTGATCATTTTAAGAGACACGCCGAATCTGAAGTAGGAGAATGGGAGACGAAACTCTCGGCTCAAGATGCCTCAAAAGAATCATTCTTTATGGGCAATGTCAATCGCGTTGCAGATAAGAAGGATTTCATGAGTTCGTTCAAAAAAGTTGTTATGATGCCTGTCAATGTTTTACCTACAATGTCTCCGTTCGGTGCGACTAAGCCCGTAATAGCGCCTCAGGCAGGGAGCCGATCAAGCTTGCAGGTACTTAGTGCCAGCCAGTCACCAATACCTTCTCGATCACCCACTCCATCGTTACCACCAGGTGCAATATCAGTTCCACTACCGACCGAAGCACCAACAGATGAACTTGCAGCCAAAGCAGCTTTGATGGCCTCTAGGTTGGAAGGAATTCGATCACTCTTCAGTATTGAAGTGGCCCTGGACCTCACGCATTCTGCAAAAGCGAGTATTGAACGTGCAGCTCTTTTCGTCCGACTAGGAGGTCAAACGGGGGAAGAAGCTCGAGAACAGTGCGAGGCAATATTCGTAGTGTTATTGCAAATCCTTGGAACTAGACACGTCAAAACAGGGTTTGATAAAGCTGTGGATCATCTTTCCAAATACAATCCTCGTGAGATTAGCGAGCACCAACAGGGTGTTGTGGTGCCTCTAATGACATTCCTGGAGCTTGTCAATGTTGGAGACTTGATCTCTCAGATGATCGATGTCTTCTACGAACAGCAACTTGCAACGACTAAGCTTGCTGACCGGAATGATTTTCTTGATCCCGCCGTTAAAGCGAAGAAGAAATTCGAACAGATGCTGGATGAGAGAGTCGCAGCCGGCTTGAACAAAGGTATTGATGTCCTAATGGACGAAGTCGAATATATTTGCGGCACCACCCAGCTTCCCACTGACTACAATCCACCCGAATTCGATGCCACTGGTGCCAACTCAGACATTGATATCGGACCAACTTCCACCGCCGTGCAAGTCGTCGCTCTCGTGGAATCCCATACCAAAATGCTCACTGGAAGTACCGACAAAACAATGCTCGACGTCTTCAATCAAGAAGTAGGACTCCGTCTCTTCACCGCCGTCTGCAAACATCTCAAACGACAGCGCATCTCCACTTCCGGAGCCATCAAACTCATCTCCGATATGAATATCTACTTCGTATACATCAAGACTCTAAGGAATGCAGACCTGCTGCAGTATTTCAAGGCGTTGAGGGAGTTGAGTCAGATTTATTTAATCAGTCCAAATCACGCCAAGGAAATGGCGACAGTTATTGCTGATGGTGATAGATTCGGGGGTATCTTTAGAGCGGAGGAGGTCTATGAGTTTGCGGAGAGGAGGGCCGATTGGTATACGGTCAAGAAAGATGTTGAGAGGGCCATGTATGGAATTGGATGTGGAGTCATGTGAGATATAGAGTTGCGGGCAAACAAAATATTAGCACGGCGTACATAGAGACCTTATGAGATATGAATGACTGTGTCTCTCTGAGACTAATGAATATGATGGAATAAATTTCATTGTTATTATAATGACTATAAAGTTTCCACTCTTGTGCTTTTCCAGTAGATTCAGTACTTTTTGTAGCTGGTTCTGGGAGAAGAACAAATGCAGCATCAAATGCGACTTCTTTGTACTCAGATCCATTACCACCAGCGAGAGCAAGAGGTGCATGTCTGTTCTCTATTGAAGTCTAATCTTTCGATAGAAGCTTCACGACCAGGCTCTCTTGCCTTCTTGTCTGCAATTTCCTCTTTCCAATTATCCTTGACGCCTCCTCCTTGACGCCAGATGACAATATACGCCGCATAATGTTCGGTGACCCAAAATCTTTACCTCATAGAAGAAAAATCCAACTTCCTCGCTACCTTACTCGTCCGATCATCATCGACTAGTCCTAGTCTCCTCTTTAAATCCTCTCCCATCTTTTCCTCGCCACCTCTCTTCTTTGGAAGATCTTGATTTTTTGTAGGTTTAGGATCTGATGCCCACCAAGAATGTTCTAAAACCTGCCTCGCCGTGATTCTTTTACTGGGATCCAGTATCAACATGTTCATCAACAAATCTACTCCCTCCGGCCCAGCTGTTCCAAACATGCCCAAGTAGTTTTCTCGTGGAACTACTGGGTTTGGTGGGTCGGGTACTGTGTATTCTGGTAATTTGGTGACTCCCGGCCAATTATCTTCAGTTGGTGTGCCGATAGCTTGACAGATCAAAGAAACTTGATGAACCTCAGTTTCACCACCTAGAAATGGGATTCTTAAAAGCATTTCGGCAAATACAAGTCCCACAGACCAGATATCCACAGCGCCAGAATAATGCCTGGCGCCGAACAACAGCTCAGGTGGTCGATACCAACGTGTGATAACATTTGATGTCATGGTTCGCTGGGGGTCTGCGAAGTTTCTCGCCAAACCGAAATCTGCAAGTTTGACCTCTCCGTCTGCGGCAATTAACAGATTGTTTGGTTTGATATCGCGGTGGAGAACGAAGTTTTCGTGACAAAACCAGATGGCTCGACTGAGCATTCCCATCCAAGCTTTTATGTCGGCCGCACCGTAGCGTACGCCATCAACGTCTTTAATCAGCATTTCGAGATCTCCGAGAGGTAGAAATTCGAGTACGAGGTTCAGGTTTTGGTCTTTAGAAGAGAATACTGAGAGGAGAGATATTACGTTAGGGTGGGAGATTTCTTGAAGGTGCTTCAATTCGCGGATGGCATCGGGCGCCATTCCTTCTGTGTATTCTTTTTGTATTTTAATCTTCTTGATAGCGACAAGAACCTTGGGATCGGTCCTCAGGTGGCCCAGATAAACGTTGGCATATGTTCCCTCTCCGAGCTTCTTGCCTAAGACGATCAGTGGTTAGCTATGTTACGAGTCAACAATGTCATGCCATGAAATAGATACCTTTGACGTATTTAGATCTCTCATTTTCGTTCATCTGCTCTGCTAAATCATAAGTTGTGCCGGCACTTGCAGCTGGACCATCAGAAGGTGTCCCATTACCACTGGGAACGGCGCTTGAGAGCTTCGATCTGCTTGCACTTCTCTCGCCAGAGCCCGCTGATGGGACAATGAGAGGTGAAACTGCCATATTGAATCGCGGCGGAAATTGGCGATCCTAGCGCAGCATGTTCAGAGTCTTAGAATTGTGTTGTTTTGTTTTATAGACGGTTTATTGGGTATTAAGCTTAGATTGAAGCATAAGGCTTTGATGCACATTTCGGGGCTGACAAGGCTGAGATCTTGAAGTCCTAGCGCCAATTGATTAATCATCAGCTTTTCTCATAAAGATGGCATCCAGTGATCTTTTTGTCATTGTGATGCGAGCTGTTTATCTACCAATTGTAAAAAGCTTCATCTTGATTGTGCTTTTCCATATAAGTTTATGTGTGTTATGTAATTATCAGTTTCATTTTCTCACTCGCTGGTCTATTGGCCCGTGAAGGCAAGAGCCAATGGGCTACGATTTCGAGCCTTCTAAGATTGTCTCCCAAGTGGAATCTATTGCTCTTTCTATGTTGAACGTTCTTTCTCCTTCAAGGGACTATAAGTAAAATGTCTTCTCACTGAAAGAAGTCATCATTACGACTCATTATTGCTACCCAAACCCACATACACTCACTCTAGTTGGCGGTTGCGTGAAGTCGATTGGTTTGATTTCTTTCTTAGTTCATGAATACCTCTTGCACGTCTGCTCAAGGCATCGATAATTCTAAATATTATACTCATCTCGCCCATCATGTGGCAGGTATTTTCATATTGGGTTTGCTTTCATATCAGAACTTGCTCTTCGCTTGATGTCTGACAACAGCTAGATGATTCCAACGGCCTCAGCTATCATCTGGTTTACTACACTCAATGCCCTGCTCGGAGCCTTTATCGTCTTTCCCCCTCACGATCCTCTTAACTCTACTTTACCAGCCCGACCACCTTATCCATCAATGTCTTCCCAATTTCATTCAGTGCCATACGTATCAGACATCGGAGCTACCAAAGAAATGCAGCCAATATTTGTCATAGGTTGTGTCCTGACCACTTTCTTGCTCGCAGGATGTTTTGTTGCAGAACGCGCACTTCGTCATAAAGGTCGTCTTGCGAGGAATACAGATAATACAGAGAGAGTAGTGGCTTATCTGAGCATTGTGTCGGCTGTGGTTGGATCCATGGGCTTGACCTTTCTGAGCATATTCGATGTTTTCAGGTATAGGACTATACACAACACAATGGTGGGGTTATTCATTTCTGGATATGCTATTAGTGCGTTTTTCCAATTTTTGGAACATTATCGTATGGGATGTAGTATGTCTCTTCTTTCTCTATCTCAATCATACATAATCTGACATTAATCAGAATATCGAAACACGCATGCGAACCTGATGGTTTCAGCTTACACGAAACTCGTTTTTATAGCTCTGGAAGGTATTCTCGGTATAGCATACTGGTATGTCGTTATAGCAAAGAACTGGGATGCGGGTGCTGCTATCGAATGGGCCGTGTCCTACGTCTTCTGTTTTTACATCCTTTCGTATCTTTTTGATTTCCTCCCGGCATTGACTACGAAAGAGAAGGACTGTAGATTTGGGGTCTATACCGAAGAATGTATGGTTCAGGTTAATGGTCGCAGGAAGCAAGCTGTTGTACAGGAGTTCAGGGGAGTTGCACCAGGATGAGAAGAAGTTGAAGACTTGAATTGTACATATTATTCTAGCAATTAGAATCGACCATGACCCCGTCAAGGAAACAGACAAAGACTCAAAAAAAGTCAAGCTGGCCGTTACCAAATGCAAGTATTCAACCCATATATCCATTGACATCCGATACTACCACACATTCTCTCAGCCAAAAAGGCAACTCTCAAGCAAACATATTATCATCTTCTAAGCCCACATGTGTAACAATTATCTCGCCTTCTGGCTCTCCTTTATCGTCGCATTGTAGCTCGCTGGCTTGTTCTTCCTAACAGTCATCTTCGACGTCTGAAATCTCACAAAGCAACCTGCTACCACTTGCTCTTTAGTTTTATCTGTGTCCACCAAGCCTGTTTCGATCAACTCCCTTACGAACATTTCAACATCCTCAAATTCATTCCAATCATTCAGAAACCTGTCCGGCATTCCTGTGTTATTGAACAAAGCTATCAAGCCCGCGTTAACTGTATTAGCAGCCGCCAATATAGTTATCGCAAGTCCATGTTTTGCGGCAGAGGAAGATCCGAGAGCAGTCAATACAGCACCAAAAAGGAGTTGAAGGATTAATGCAAGACTGTAAAAAGTACTGGAGAGATAATACGCTAGTTGACTCTTCTGGCGTGTTTGCACAATATCTTTATAAAGGCCATTAGGCAAGTGCCGATGTGAGAAGAGAGGAGAACCAGAAGCTATTTCAACTGGCTGTGATGGGTTGTCTATGCGCGTCGCGCCGATGGATCGTAAGACGCCTATGTATTCGGCCTCGGAGAGGGTACAAAGGGGTGGGAGCACATATTGTGTTTCTATCTGGCCGAGAGCATCGACATCTTGTGGTGTAGGTGTTGGACTTCGCGAAGTTGTTGAGTCAAGGTTAAGTTTGTCCGCTGGGATAGTGGAAGTCATGGCTGAAGCCCTATGGATGGAGTGTATATTGATAGGAGTTTTGAGTGGATTGAAGCAAGAATCAATCAAAAGATTGCTAATATATGACACTGATTACGACTGACCAGGCTAGGTACGAGATCATGAGAAGACGTGGAAATTAGATCCAAACTATATCGCACGAGAATTGATACAGAACGAGACAAGGAACGAATCCTTCTGGGTATCTTTCTACCTTTATACTTCTCGGTGGGAGCTTTCTGCCCCAACTTACGCAAAACGTTCCATGTGCCATTCCCTCAGTACGTGAGTGCAACTCAACTTAGTCTTTCCTCGATACCAAAATTCTCGCAATCCAACACACCTTGTCAGCGATTCCTAAGTCGAGCCAGGCTGTGTGTAGGCGTTAAGTGAGTGAGGCTCCTTTTCTCGCCCAGTTTGTAAATGGATGAGTCAAGGATGGTATGACAAAAACGTAAAATACATGCGTGAACTTGACACGCCACCTTTGTGCACTGAATTTAGCCTTATAGACATCAAAGAACGTTTTGACAAGACTATTATCCCGGTATCATATCCTCGAAACTAAACATGGTACTTCTCTCTGGCTTTCAGGAGATTGTTCGAATACCGAAGAACATAGATTGACTCGAGCAACTTTTACTATTGAGCTAAATCGGGATGAGATGAGATCATCCAGTATACATGGATGTGTGTAATTGAGTGAGATATGTAGGTACATTGATCTCACCCTGACTGGCAGCCCTAGTAATCGAACAAGCATCCGCAGACTCAGAACTCCACGAGTTCGTAATAAGCCTTTGCTATAAACACTTTCTATAATCAGCCTATGATAACCGGTACAACAACTACTTGTCAAATCTTCGCAAATGATAGCATGAGTGGCTGTGTCTTACTGCTCTTTGTAGCACCAATCGGTGAGAGAATCGAATAATTACTTGCATCTGAAACAAAAGGGGAAGGCAGCCCTATCGCTTATTTCTTCAGAGAGGTGGGGACAACGGTCTTATTGGTTATGCTACGTATCGGTGGCTTATTGTCAGAAATCTTACTCTATCAATCCCTTGTGAACCCCTAAAATCATGTACTTTTTCTACGTCAAGTTTCATACACAATATGACTAAGGGGTAAGAAAAAAGTTGGGCTTATGGAAATTGGTCATCTGGAAAGCTTGAAGTGGAAAGGAGTAGTGGCGGGCCTTAGAAATTGTTCCTAATTCTATTCCGTACATTCGATCAAGGCGTAGGTGATACAAGACATGGGGTGACACGTTTTGGACTTTTTAGTTCAGCCTTGGTAACGGTTGCGGCGGAGTACGGGATATTGCTTGGGGGTACGAAATGGATTCCAACTACGGTTGACATGGTCTCTCCTTTCTACTTAATGAGTTGATGTTTTTTGACTTCGTGTTGGTCTTCTGGTGACAATTCAGAAATTATCTTTTTTGGGGGGGACATAAGCCGGGGCAAAATATATACAGCAATTACTTGTGCTCATGGCCACTCAGGTGACTCAACTCGACACTAATGTCGAAAGTGCTTGAATCTGGATCGAAGCAGTTGGAAGTTCAAGGTCATTTCAATCATCTTCCGTGCTTGATCATGAAATGATAACTTCGAGATGATAGCTCAAAAGAGGTGTGTGAAATACGAATACTGCCAGTGATTATGTCCCGTTTCAATGCTTTCGCTATTGCTCTGATGTTCAAATAGGGACTTCATATCGCTTTATCAATCGCGTTCATGAATTGGGTGCGAGCGCCACAGAAAAATTGCATAGAGTCACTAACCTCACTGTCTAGTTCGCACCGTCGTTCGCAAGAATGCATGGAAGTCAGAGACGAGAAAATTATCAAATGATAATATCCAACATACCGCGAAATAGTTCACAATCTGGGTACGAAGCTTAATATCTTTCTGTTAACTTAAGATACACGTTTCATATACTGTAGCTAGCAATGATTTCAAGACCAGAGACTCATCAAAATCCCTCACTTAGAGCCCATTTTTCTTCAGAAACTCTACAATAACCTGGTAGCCGCCCGTTGCATTATACTGTTATCAGGCAAAATGTCAGTTGAAATCAATCAAAACAAACCCAACACCTTAATAATGAGAAATTCCAGAGCCAATAAATCAACTACACAATGGATTTATAGGAGAGATGGGAACTTACAGCTAAATTCAAACTGTGAGCTGCACCTGGCTGAACATGACTCTGAAATCCTTTGGAGTTAGGAAATGCTTCTCTCGCTGATGGCCCCAAAATGCCTTGGCAGTTGCCACCGCAGTTTATATAATCGTATTCGCCGCTTTGTGTTGAAAAAAATTAGTCTATAGCCTTGAAGTATAAAAAGATTCGTTTAGGGGATGATAACATAATAAAATACATACGCCATAACCAACACCGGGCTCTTAAAAGCTTTCGCATTCAGATCGACCAGAGGCGCTGTCGCGCTTTCCATTATAGCCTGTGGATATCGATGCTCTGTGCTGTATGAATCCGTAAGATTTGTATCATAGTATCCTTTTCTATAGAGCCTGTATTAAATTCTCGTAAGCATTTTCTCGATCTTAGCCCTCTCAACTGTTTCTAACAGACGAAAATAACAACAGATTTATGAAAAATCGTCTTTCTTACAATTTCCAAATAACAAACTTATCATCCTGATCCAAATACCCCGAATGATATCCTAAATCCTCCCATTTCGGATCCACAGTACTGGCAATATTTCCATTCCAGCTCGACAAGAGAGAGCCAATGGAGCTGGTAACACTGGCTTTGTAGCCAACTCCAGTCAGGATTACCGCATCGACCAGAGAAGCATTCTTGGCTATCACTGCATTTGTAATGTGGGAACCTACATTGAATCCTATAGGGACAATTTTCTTGGGCACAGTGTGTTCGACCGATTTTGGAAAAAGCGAGTTTTCGCGGATTTTGGTGAGGATTTTCTCGAGCATGGCAACGTGCATGGGAAGTTGGAGAGTGTAGCCGCTTATTCTGTGATGCTGTTAGTATTATCAAGAAAGTTTAGTGTTTGATTGATTGCATGATCCTCGTGGGGGGGGATATCGCTTGAGGGAAGGAAAAGCGTGTACACGTACACTTGAGAACGACCTGCCCCTAGAAGATCATAGGACAGAAATGAATATCCCTTCCCTACTACGTAGTTTGCGAAATTGTATTTTTCGGGTTGGTATTGTATATCCCAATAGCTAATCAAGTCAATAAATACTCACAAATAATACTTCGTTGCTTCACACCCAATGAAGCAAGCTTACGTTCTATCAGAATCCAATCCATGCGTAGCAACTAATAGAGTAGTTGCATTCGCCGGCTCGCAATATGTTCCCGAGAGACGGAAAGTTCCATTTCCGGGAACACTGCCTGAGATGGGATGGAAAGTCTTGTCGGCGTCGCGCCGATTGATGTCCTGGATATATGTAGCTACGTCGTAATTGTCATTGAAAGGGGGATAGCCGAATTGGTATTGGATGTAGTCGATGTACACTAGGAATCTGAAATCGGTGCATATAGTTTCGGCGTGAGATATCTGGGTATGAATAATGAGGAGTACGATGGAGAAAAGTATCGAATGCATAATGGACTAAGGTGAGTAGTTTTGCGGGTGCTGTATGACGAGAAAGTGATTTTCTCGTGCCTTCTATGGAAGTAGAATGTTCTTGAGATTCCTCCCTTCAGGCAGACTCTGGTGTGTAGAAAACCAGAGAAAAAAGAAAGGACTGATATTGATGACAATTTAACTCTAGAGAAATTCAATTAATATATACATGTTCATGACTTTGAGCTTCATCCAAGAAAATGTCTGAATGTTTCCTCCACACAAAGACACAATTCGTGGCTCAGATGATCAATCAGCCCATAAGCAGAAGTGGATGAAATTCAGTACCTGCCGTCTCGGGAGCAGTAAGCAGCCATCAGAACTGTCATTCCAGCGGGGAAAACTTTCTGGAAATGGCTAAGGTTCATGAATTGCCTCGTATGGAAAAAGTCGATGTCACTGAAGAAACGGATGCCTGGCCTTGGAAATTATTATCCAGTATTGAAATTCTTCTTGGCATGCAACGGGATATCCTTCCAGAATAGCCACGTCAAAAACCGAGCTGAAAGTAATTGACAACGTTATATTTGACAAATCAATAGCATAAATACAATGCATAAGTATGTTTAATAGCGTTATAATTAAATTTCATTAACGACTTGAATAATCCATTTTACATTTCCCATTCCAAAATTATATCTTCTCATTTTTCATCAACATTAAGCACTATAACATAACGGGTATATCAGAAAGGGCGCAACCGTGCAAACCCCCAGTCTTTCTCAAATAAAGTCATCTTCTCTTATCACTAGAAAGGGAGAACTCTCTTTCTTTCAAGCAACAGTTCCCTTAACTTGCTTGATCTCATCGACCTTATAATCTCTCCACATACCAACAAATACGAAACAGGGTATCAAGAATACTACTCCGGCAACAGCCAACCATTTCATACTCTCTCCATATGCAAACCAGACTGCATCCCGCTCTACACTGCCGACAGGATACTGCAATTGGACAGTGAGACTTCCGTATAATTGAGCTGCCAACTCTGGGTCGCTGATCTTCTGTGCCAATGCCGCGGGGAATTTGTTGGTATAGATTGCTCCTGAGATTGCTACACCGATAGCACCTCCTACGGAACTGAAGAGTCCAATCAATGCTAACATAGATGCAACGCCTTTGTGTGGTGCAGCAGCCATGACAGCCATTTGTTCACAGATGGAAATAGTTCCGCCGGAGAAGGCGATAAAAATTTGACACATAATGACATATCCGATGGGTTGATCTGGTTGACGGAAATGAATCATAAGACCCACGCCCAAAGTTTGGAGTGGGACTGCGAAGTAGAGGGCGAGCCACCTGAAACGGCCGGTGACGCGGATGGCATAGGAGATGACCACAGCCCAGAAACAGGAACCGATGGAGTATATGTTGGTGACGTAGCCAGCGTGGGTGACGCTGAGGTTATGGACCGCTTGTAGGTAGTTGTAAAAGTAAGAGTCCCAGCAGTAGAAGGAGATGAAGAAGAAAGCAGCGCAGAGACAGGCGCCGACGACGGTGCGGTCAGTGAGAAGCTCGAAAGGAATGAAGGATTTACGGCCGGCGTAGCGTTCGAAGAAACCGAAAGCGATGAGACATAATATTCCAATGACGAGCATAGCAATGATCATGCCGGAGTGCCAGCCTTCCTTTTGGTAGGAGGCGAGGGAGAAAGGCAGAAGGAATAGGACAAACCCAGCGGAAACGAGGAGGAGACCAATGACTGCATAATTTTTAGACCAGAGTAAACATGCGTAAGATTGAAATAGGCTTACCATCGAATTCCCAGAAATAGTATTTGATACTCTCAGCCCATGTACGGCCACTATCAATCTTCTTGATCAAGCCTGCTTTCTTTGCTTTACCTTGATTCACCCATAGAAGTGAAAGAATCGGGATACAGATCACGGGAGTAATAATTGCGAAAGCACCGAAGGCCCATGGCCATCCACTTGTTTTGAGGAATGACGACGCCGCAGGAGGTCCAATCCATGTTGTTACAATATATGGAGTCGTCGAGAAAGCGAAAACCAAGGCTCGATTCTTCAGACTTGATGTATCGGCCATGAAGACATCGAGGACGTACATCATACCATCGAATCCCAGCCAATAAAATACCTATCTCTGTTATTAATCATGGATCGAGAGAGGACTAGACTCAGCACTTACTTGCGCAGCTGCATAAGTTTCTACATTTTTGCACGCAGCCATCATGATCAGACCTACACATGATTAGATACATCGTACATAGCCAAGAGTTACTGTGACACGGAAGGCGGGGGAATGATACCTATTGTAGCGAAACCGGTCATGATCGCAAATCCCTCGGCACGGCCAATCAAGTCGACAAACTTAGCAATTGGAAGTCTAAAGACACCACCAACAATGCTTGATACGATACTAGTGGTACCAGTCAAAGGCAAGAGGATGAAAGAGGAAGTAACGTAAACCGAAAGATTGTTCTGGATCTGTTGTTGCATAGAGATCACGAAGAAAACGAGGAAAATGCTATTTTATATTAGAGCCCTGCTCACATAGTATATAGAATTCATTGGAATAATCGATAACTCACAATGCGTATGCCAAATATAATTGGTTTTTGGTCCAGATCAAAGTGACAGCTTCTACTGCTTGAACACCATGCTGAGCATCTTCTACTGGTCGATCATCTACCGAACTTGCTGGATCGTTGACAGCTGTGTTGAGGCCATCGTTCTTATGATCGAGACCATCAGGATATGCTGTCATTTCAGGACCGACGGCAACCTCAGAGACCAAGCCGTCAGTCTTTGTTCTCCATGGTCTGAAACCCATGTTGCGTTGAATACTGGCGTCGATATCTCTCTGTCCAGGCAAACGAGGGTTGATATGAATTGATCTGCGAAGTTTATTGCTCGGATGAAAATTTGATGGTCGGATATCAATCGAGATATGAAGAGGAAGATGAAGATGAAGATGAAGATCTTTGAGCTACAAGTACAACATATATCATATGTACTAGTACTGTATGGCAAAAAAAAGAAAGCTAGCTTACGGTGTGCATATCTACTTATTATTTCTCCTAGCCATCTAGCGTAACTTGGTCTCCGTGCCATCCCTTCCAGTTCGGAAATCAGCAGTTGCATTATTGTTATTGTTGTACATACCACCCGTGTGACTATCGTATGGCAGTAAAATCGGAGCTTCCGTGATCCCATAACCAAAATTATGGGGAGGGGTACAACCCGGTAGCCATACAGATAGCAGTCTTTTTGGTGGAATTATAGGAAATGGCTCCATTCTGCTACACAAGAAGGTAAAGATCCGCTATCAATATAAATCTGTGACATCCAATCAAATGATAGAGCGAGGAGAAGATTTTTTACACAGATATCCAGGATTGAAGTTATGATTGGTTGATTAGATCCACGCCAATTGCTACCCTTGACGAACTTTGCTACTCGAGCAGTAAGTATAGTCCGGCCGGCCAGGATTGCATTCATTGACGGATCTGATAACTTTAAAATCTCCTCAGGCTCCATCTGATTAGATTGATTAATTAGATTGATTAGGGAAGTGGCGAACGAAGCTATTGATTCATTTATTCGCTCCAGCTACTCGGTATGTGTTCATGGCATTCATGTTCTTGCATCAATCAGTGCTACAATCTTGTTTCCTTTTCCTCGGTAATGTATTTCCGCTATGGCCGGTAAATGGCGAAAGGTACATTAGAAGTTGGAAGTCAGGAAGTCAAGAAGTCAGGAAGTCAGGAAGTCAGGAAGTCAGGAAGTCAGGAAGTCAGGAAGTCAGGAAGTCAGGAAGTCAGGAAGGTTATTCGACAGAACTTTACTCAGTTGCGACTTGGAGATCGCAATACACCTATTCATTGCCAATGTCACTCTTTTTATGATTACGTACATCGATGTAATGGAGCCTTTCCTCTTTCTGCTGTATACCTGGAGGGTAGGTAACGTAACGTTAACAAGAGATACCCGGAAAAATGCGAGTTGGGCTGCAGACGAAGTCGTATAGCAATTATTGAGGGGTGGTCTTATCAGTATGTGGCCGTATTCACATGACTCAGTCAGCCATTTAGGGTATATTTTATTAATAGTACGTCTATTATTGTATAATTCCACATCTAAGCATGGCAGTCATGGTTATCCAAGGTTATTCACTGTCGGGCAAGGTTTCCTTATAGAGACCACGAAAATGGGAAAAGTCGGAGAACATGTGACAGGGGTAAGATCTGATAAAACTTTTAGTGGGGGTTGTGGTTCTTCGCCTCCGAGACTTCTTCACTTGCAATTATTGGAATTGTTTCTCAGCTCTGAAAAAGGTTCAACGATATTATTGAGATCGAAAGTCATGATAGCGAGACTCATCACAGCCATCCGAAAAAGGTCTCCCAGAAAGAAGTAGACCTAGAATCATCAAGAATGTCGTGAAGTGAAAATGCCAGATGCTGGACAGAACACTTGCCATTCATCAATTTTTACTTTCTATTCAAATTGTTGAACGGGCCTTTATAGACCACAATAATTAACAAGTGAAGCATCTAAACGAGAAGTAAGAAAACCCCTTGGAACAGCCAACGCTTGTGAAAATTGAGTAAAAAGGGTGTCTTCAGTCATAACCGATATCTAATCAATAAATCTAATCAATCAGTCACGCGTTGGACAGGAAATTCCTCGTCAGATCTAATCAGGTCTTTTCGTCTCATCTCTACAACCAATTTCAGGCAACAGAGCTAATCTCCTCGTTCTTCTTGCCTAACAGAAATGTAATCTTTGACTGTTCAGTGGCCCAGTAAACGTCAGAAGTCCGAATGAAGTGGCATTTCTGTTACGTTTTCACAATTTGAAACCTCACGAAACCGAGGATCGTCGTGACCTTAAAAGGATGCATCGATCCTCGTCATACATGCTGTTGATGCAACTAAACGAAATTTACGAAGATCAGAAACTCGGAGCTGTGGATCTTATATACAACGCAGGAGAATACGGACCATCCATCAAACGGACGGCCAACTAATTCAGTCTACACGGGGAAAATAATTTTGCCTATACAGATCAGTTATCACAAGAGAAACTCTCTCAATAAAGTAGCTAAGTCAAAAGTGTCCTAAATTCCACTATATCCTTACAATGTGATCTGGAAGTACCGGCATCTTGACACTAATCACATTTTAGACCTGTCAAGATGTGATGAGTGATTGTTTTCGGACGACTAACCTTTTTAATCTCTTGGAATTTAAGGCTCCAGCCTCGCCCTCTTCTCCATCCGATACCGCTCTCTGTCAAGTTCAAATCACCCGATTATGCTTCTTTTGTCAAGATAGAACTTAGCCTAAGTCAAACCAAGAATCTGGATCATCTACGATGCTTTCGAACATCAAGAGACTGCTACAACTTCTGATCCGCGCCACTTTTGAGCTTGTATGTAAATTCAAATGCGTTCTCGGCGGATTGCCATCGTGTACACGGATTTTCGCGAAGCATGGCGATATCATCGATGATAGATTGTTTGAAATTGGATAGTTGTTAGCTTGAAAAGTGACTCCAAGAGAAGACTTCCAACTTATCAATTGCACCGAATGTCATATCGTTAATTTGATGATTATGCTTAGTTGGCATACAAGCATTGAGAGAATCACGAATATTCTTATTAGTTAAGTGGGTAGTTCCACTGTCTGGAATTTGTTCAATTGAACCGAGTTTCAAATCAGCGAGAAAGACGAACCTGCATGGTGTGCCACCATAACTTCATCAAAATATAGAAGAGCATCTGATGCAATGATATCTTTCCAGGCTGGGCTTGATATGACCTCCAACATTTCTTATAACCCGAATCCCATCTATAGAAGATTAGAGGAGCGTTTTGGATTGGATCGAATGATCATAACTATACTTTCAAGTTGGATATTCAATAACCTTTCTGGTACAACACGTGTTCAAGCAAGTTAATTATGTTTCTGTGAACGTATGAAAAGAAACAGAGGTCATTCAAATTATGATTTACCAACCATGACTTATGTTGGCTCTCTCCCTGTGGCTTCAAGTTCGGCTAAAAGTAGGGATATGCGATTTAACAATGTCTCCAAGACAGTGTCAAACGATGAGCGAGACAGCCGCAAGATTGGTGATACTCATGAATTGACCAAAGTTGCAATTTCCATCGCAAAAGTATATCCTTATTTGTTGTGTCATAAACACTGGGCTATTGTCCTGAAGTTGGTACTATGAGGAAGTGAGTGCTTGTGGTTATGATTTCTTTGACTGAGATCATATGCAATACTTACAGATTTTTAACGAAGATTGAATCGTAATATTTTACGGATTGTCTATCTATCTTTACAGCTTACAAGCTCAGAGGCACAGCTTTCATGAATTTTTCAATCCGACAAAAAGTGATGATCAATCTGTTTTCGAGCTTCTAATTTTCAATTTTGCTGAAATGAGATTACATCCGTAGATTCTCATACCATCAACCATTACCATGCATGTACGGAAATATCCCATCACTAGGCATACTCATATAATGTCTCTGGATCTAGTCTCAATAATTTATCTTAACAATCAATTGTTGAGGGATGGTCCTGCACTGGAGTCTGGCATAATGGTGAACATGTGTTAATTTTGTATGTTGTAATCACGACGACGTAATAACATCCGATCTTTGGAGTATCTTATGTATTTGCGCATTTTCATTTCGATCTGTAGCCTCTCTTTAAGATGCTAAAGAATCGACTCCAAGTAGGTACCTTCCTTGTCGTCGTTTACGTCAATCTCGTCGGTTATAGAGTAGTCCCCCTGATCATTTATTTATAGTGACAATTCTCATAACCCCGAGATATGCTACTTCGTTTGTATACGGGGCGCTATTTTCTTCATTTATCAAATGATCGCTCGTGAAGTCAATTTTGAATTTAGTTTTTTCTGCTCGAATTAAGGTCCTGGGCCATTGTCGTTTACCGCGGATCCCACGACCATATAGTAAGTTCCATTTACATACCTACACATATTATTGACGCACGCTCTTTACTTTAAGCCTCAATGATTGATTTCCTCATCTCCTTGAAATGCCAACTATCAGACGATGTTCATGACTGCAAATGAATATGCTTAAGGTTCTAGGTGCGATCCAAAAGCACGCATTCTGAAGCAAGCCAAGTATCATTCAATACGCCTTTTCTCCATAGCAATATAAGTATCAACATGGTACTCACCCAGCTAGATGGTATGAATCTACAGATATAACCACTATGGATAACCTGTATTGGTTTTTGAAAAAGACAAAAGCATTTGCAGCCTTTCTATATTCGATACGGTTATTTCAAAGCAAGGGAGCAGATTCCCAAAATGTAGTGAAATATCGAGATTTGGCGAGTCATTATAATGTATCTCTTGTAATCAGGAACTTGCAAAACCAAATTTTTGTCGTTACGCCAGTATTCTGTTCACAATCTTTAGGGAGACGAACTATCTATCTGCGATTCCCCAATGGCCTTGAAGGCTTCACTTCAATGATCAAGCGACGTCTGATCATCTAGATATTGAAAAATGCATTCCGCCGCCGATTTTTGACTACACCCTACTCATCGGACGTATAATTTACATACGCCCCAATTTTATATTTCGACTCCTCACTAACAAGTACGTAGGCTTCTCCTTTGCGCAAAAGCTGCATGTAAGTGCGCTTCCCTGTACCAAAATAGAGCTCTGAGAAAAGCATCCCGATCAATGTGTATCCACAGTTGAAATTGTGTAACGCAGAAAGTCGGGCGGAAACTGTCCCTTTCTTAATACCCCAATATCCGAGATTCCATGTTTTTGGATTAGAATGTCATAAGATGGGAAGGAGTTATATATGATGTGTCCTCGATATATCCATGCGAAGAGTCAAATAAACAGAGAGGAGATTGACAAAGGAACAACCATCCATACCGCTATCCACAATGTTACTGAAATTATTATTCTTCCCCTTCAGCATTTCGATAATGGGCTCGTAAAGATTCTGCCATGAATGCGAGGATATTGAATAAAGCCAGAGCTGAAGATAAGATTCTGGTAGGAGAATCAATTGATATTTCTCGGGGGTGTGAGAATCAAAGCGAGGGTAGAGTAATTCTACCGCTTACTTTCAATACCATTGCTACCCCTTCAATACTTTCGCCAAATGATCCCCTCTCCTCTCAAAATTCCTGCCTTCCAGAAATCCCTCCTGGCATCCCCACTACATTCCCACGCATCAACTTCCAACCCCCCCTCTCCCCATACCCATGCCCATTCTTTCCAAACCCGACATCCTCCGCACAAGCGACCAAGTCCAAAAGCCCTCCAGCGAAAAAGCATAGATCCACAAATCCACAACTCCACCAACGCTACTTCAATTATCACATTACAGAGACCGCGAGTTTCCACCACAGATTACGAACGCGCGCTGGCAATAGCTCATACCCCACGAGACCCGAATATCGCAGAACGTTCATTAACCCTAAAAGGGGCGAAATATTCTTCCTTGGAAGAGAGAGTTAGGTGATGAAATATGTTGGCGAATTTGTTTAACGTTCTGCGCCCGGATACTGGGGGGTAGATGTGAATATTAAGGGTCCCAAGGTGGATTTGGGGACCGGGATAGGGAGAAGTGACTTGGAGGTTGAGGGATGGAGTTTGAAGCGGGCGTGTGAGTTTCCGGATGAAAATGTGGATTCTTCCAGGTCGGACCGGAATTTCGATATGGGCAAGAAGGAATAAATATAAATAGTATTGATATATATCTCATACAGGTGACCCCCTCAATTTCCTCACCCTGGAACTGAAGTATTCCGAATCCATATATATCTGCCTACCATAATATATCCCTTTGCGAAGACGTTATCCAGCCTGCCATTCTTGAATATATGACCAGCGCAGATATCTCACAAACAGGAAACGGAAAGGGCGATAGATTTCGAAATGTGATGTTTATTTCCTGATGTATATGCGGATAGTTCAGATTCCATTTTCTCTTTACTATCCGAGCAAGATAATCACTGATCCAAGCTCCTTCCAACTATCTAATACACTATTCCATAGCAGAATCAAATCTATAAAAGCATAACTTTCATTCCCTTTCCTCTATCCAATATCGTTTGATACAATCCGCTAAAACTCCTAGGTATCTATCTAAATTTCAAAAGTCCTCCTCCAAGTTTCCGAATCCCAATGGTATCTGTCCTCCCAATTTCTTTCCAAAAGATGCCAGTTGGCCTACTATGATTGCTATAAAGCTTTTATACCAATCCATACCTCCCAATCCAAGACAATAGTCTACGTGAACATGTCTTATAACCAAACCAGAACCAAACCCAAAACCCAAAGATAAAAATAAAAATAAAAATAAAACACCACTTCTTCTACTCTGTTCACTTCCAAAATGAGCCCTTCCCCTTCCCCTCCCCCTGAGTCACTATCTCAATTCTTCTATCGCCAACCTAAACTTGTAGATTGGCATCTATTTAATTCGACGAGAAGCATGCAAAATCCAGGGCTTGTAGATTTTAATGTAGTTCAAAGAGACAAACTGGTACTGTCGACTCTGAGACACTGATTCCTGGCACTAGTCTAAAGCAAGGATCCTTGTGGCTGGCTCCCTGGCTCCTTAATTCTGGGGTATGTATGCATGACTGGCTCCATGACTTTCTATTCTGTCGAATTTAAATGTCCTGGGGTTTCCTGACGGGATTTTCTGAGCGGGCTGGGTCCGCTTTGTTGTTATCCTTGCGGGAAAAATATCATTGTGGAGACAACTTGGCGTGGGTAGCTAACGAAGAATGTTAGTTAAACTTTCCCATTAAAGTAGATAGGAATACAAAGGTTACTTACACTAATTCTCAATGTTTCAAAGTGAGTACTTCACTCAGCCCATGGATCCATGGCTGAAGGTACGGCTCATGGCTGGAGATGCCTGATTGATCTTTTGAAGAGTCTGCGCCATCATCTTGATGCAGTCACTGGCATTTCTCAAGTTGGTCATTCCATTTGCACTCTTGGGATCGTGCAATTGTTTCACAGCCTCCTGGAGTCGCTGCTCGCTTTGGTGGTAGATTTCAATCAAGGATGGTTGCTGGTTAACAACTGGAGACTTGACTCTCTTGACTGGTTCCTTATCCGAGATACTTGGTTCCGTGATGGCATCCTGCTTACGCTTCTTTGAGCCAGTGGCTGACTTCTCAGCAGGTGGTGGGGAACCACCGGCACTCCTGGATGTGCATGGGTCATTGTGTACGCGCTTCATGTGGTCATAAAGATTCCAGCGACGCGGGAAGCCATTGCCAGTGACGCCGCGCTCGCATCCATCATACTTGCAAAGGAAGGGCTTATCCCCATGTCCGTGCATGGCGTGGGCTTCTCTCTCGTGGCGGAGTAGGCATGCTGTGGAGGAGAATTTGTTGTCTGCACACGCAGCGATCTTGCAACGGTATGGCTTCAAGTGAGAGTCGACGAATTTGCTGTGGCGTAAAATGATTAGCTTGTTGTACGGGCTTGAAAGGAGTACAAAAATCCTACTCATAGTTACACTTAAGCTTCTCTGGCTTGTGCTGGCATGATGCGTTTCCTTCCCATGGGCAGTGGTATAATCCATCGGACTGAGTCGTCACATTATGGTACAAATGGTGATCACGTGCTGAGTTATCAGCATCGAGACTGGAACGTCCCATCAACTTGAAGGACTCCTCTGTCTCAGTTCCAAGGACACGTCTGGAGTTCGTGTCACTAGCTACTTTGGAAGCTCTGGGTCCCATTGGCTTCCTTATAGTCCTGTCGCCGATCTTGTAAGGAGGTGAATCCACGAAATCTGGAAGGCCTTGAACATACCTTGGTGATCGGCCTTCGGTTGGGGAGTAGTCCAATGGGCTGTTTGTTGAAGACATCATTTGTGGTGGCAGAGCCCATGAGTCCTCGGCAATAGGGGTGTGTGGTTTAGAAGATTCAAGTAAAGCAGTCTCCCACATATCTGGAGATCCCAAGACAGGGCTTTCGAAGAAAACTGAATCTTGTGCGCTGTGAACATAACTGGAAATAGAGCTTGGAGCTGCTGTCATACTTGTAGGTAATCCATGGTTATTGGAAAACATTTCAAATCCTCCTGTTGTCAACGACAAAGTTGGTGGCTGCTGGAATCCACTGGTGACTGGTACTTGGTAATCATTCCCGGCTGACTCATCTCCTCCTGGGTACTGGAAGCTGTCGAACGCAGATTGAAAATCAAATTGTGCTGTTGGAGTGTACAGAAGAGTGTTGGCTGGACTAGCTGATCTACCTGTAATATCTGATCTTGCAGATGTCATTTGATAATGTGCCTGAGAGCCATTGGGCAAGTATCCCATTGGCATAGACTCAGTTGTTGATGTTGACTGAGTTGTCCTTGATGAATCCTTGGATGGAAAGCGGGTCATTTCCTCAGACTCAAGACCTGAAGTCAAATCGGCGGGCCACCGTTGACTTGTCATATGAGCCACTGGGATATAAAGAGAAGAATCAGAAAATCCATTGGGTCCTTGGGAATTAGATTCACGAGGTGAGTACTGTAAACCCTCATTTTTTCCGTTCCAGGATAATCCACTGTATTGTCCCTTGGTAGGTTCTGTATGACGTAAAGAAAATCCAGTTGTTCCTTGGAATGGGGTTCTTGAATGAAAACCGCTACACAAGATCTAGGTTAGTATGATGTACATATACAGATGGAAAAGTTACAATTGCAGCAAAACAGAAACATAAAGAAAGATAAAGCAAAACAACAGCTTCCAGCGAAGTACCTGCAGCAAGACGTTAGTTGTGAAAACCTTATGCATAAAGGGGGGAATCTACAGACCAGGTGGAATTTGGCGTGATGGGTGTCGTCGATTCGGTGTTGATGTTGATAAGAAACCAGGGCGAGTGATTGAAATATCCAGGGCAATCAATATAAACAAATGAGAAAAGGTGGTTTGTCCTTGGAGTCCTTAGTCCTTGAGTTGGCCTTCCTTGGTACGTTGTTGTGTCCATGTGATGTTCTGGTGAATATGAATCCTTCTGCTCAACGAAAACAAGGTACTGTCAGTGGATACTCGATTTTGTTATAAAGGGGGTTTGTTGTAAGACTTGTGGTCAACATTGAGTAGGTTACGTACTCAGTGGCATAATTGATGCCTGATGCTTTCATAGAGCACGGTAACTGGCTGGAATAGCCAGTCACTTCCATTTGGGTTCCTTGGGCTGTCGTTTCAGGAATTGGTTCCATGTACGGCAGTTTAGAAAGGAAATTTAATCCACGGTGTCCATTGTGGTAAACATTGTTGAAACCGACATGTTTTGAAGTTGTTGTAGGAATCCCATGCATGGAAGCTGCATGTAGAGATCCCATTTCGCATGATAGATGGATGTTTGTCGCCAGGTTATCCTGTAGCACATATTTTGGCCTTGGAAGCTGAGTGCGGTTTCTCGTTGACAAATTGATGTGTTACGATGCGCTCGCAGGATATGCGAGCCCACATCTTGGAACTTCGGCGGATGGATCTCTGGCTTCGGGTATATAAGCGGCTAACAGGCTACCATGAAAGAAATCAAGTGTTTTAGATCCATTGGAAATTCGGCTCCTTCCGGTATATAAAAAGAGAAATTGCAGTCTGAAAGTCCATTTGAAGTCGATATACTCACTCAAGATCGGAGGTCTTTTGATTAATGTTCATATTTTTGATTCTCAGAGAGTGCTCTTCAAACCTCCGAAGAGGTAAAGCATACCCTCGTCGTGTGGATACACGGTAAGACCATCGAAAATCCTATGGGTTCCTGGGAAGCTCGGGAAAGCTGGATGTGCCTGGAAAAGTCCTTGGAAAGTCCGGTATCATTGGAGATGTTGTGTTGCGAAACAAAAAGTACATGATTTTTTCTGGGAACATAAAACATCCGGGATTCTAGCAGTAAAAGCAAACGCAAACTCAACGCAAAGCAAAGCAAAAACACGCAAAATAGAAAAAAACAATATACCTGGCGGATGCCTTCCTGGAATGTGATTGTGTATCGAAGCCTGCCATGGTTTCCGGGAGAAGGGTCAAGGTCTCCGTGCAAGTCATTTGGGATCCTTTTTGAAGCAACGGCAATGTGCTTTGTCGAATATGTTGAGGAACTATGTGTTGAAGATACTACTCTTATGGCCACGGCCTTGTGGTATGAGCAGGAAAAGATAACTGATGTTGGTGATAAGAACAGTCCGGCTGGATGATCTCTGTTGGGTATGTTTGCAATAGAAGAGAAAACAGAAACAAATTGGGCAGCTTTTCGGGGGAAGATCCGCAATATACACGAACTGGAGTAGGGGGGTGGTGAATGTATGGACCCGAGTGACAGAGAAAGAGGCTGACTTAGATGTGAGCAAGGTAAAGGATGAATGAGAATGGAAAGAAAGGAAGAATTCGTCCAAGGTGGGGAGGTTGGGCACTTATGCTTTTCAATGGTAACCAAAATGAGGAGACAAGGTCAGAAACGCACGAAGCGAACAAAAACCAAGGATATTTGACATTAATGAAATGTGCGAAAGAACCAGGGTGATTGATTTGTCGACGAGGATAGTCCTGCCATGTGAGACATTGATGCGTTGTCTCTTTTCAAAAATTGCTTGCCTCGTTTGAATTAGCCACCACTTGATATCACTGGTTGGGTGAGGGCAATGGGTCACCCTTTCACGACTCATAAGAGAATTATACCTTGTTATTTGGATATTCAAATAGAATTCTGCCCTGTAATCAATCCTGGCAATTATTCTATTTATCTCGAAATAAATATGGACCAGTTGTATGATTGACTTGACGACCCCTCTCTCGACCAGGTTTTGAGTGGGTGGAATGAACGAAGATTGCAGTCGAGTTACTATACGACACGCAATTAGCCTAAGGAATATATGAAGTCACGACCAAACTTCAAAGTAACTTTCCGTACTTGCTCAAGGATACCTAGAGAATGGGATGACGACGTCCAGCTATCTCCTGTTAAAGAAGTGTTGAAATGTGATGAATTCCAGGAAACGTGCATTGCATAATTACCGTCGTACCAAGAACTGTGGTATTCCAGTATCTTTTTTAACTTTTTACAAATGAAGTATAAGGAAACCAAGCCACATTCAGTAAAAATGAAGCTATTAGCAGGATTGCAATCCTTATCACGGAAGGGACAGGAATCCACTTCCCGTTCAATTCCTCTTAAGCTCTCCAACTTCCCGAGAAGATTATGCAGATTCAGGGTTATTCGCCCATTAACCCTCATTCATTCGACAAGAATTCAAGTTAAGAAAAAGTTGTGTATCATAATAATAGGTCCATGTCTCCTCTCCCCAGCCTTATCAAATGTTGGAAGCGATTATCAAGCATCAGAAATAAGAAGGTCACATTATTGATATTGATAACAATCTCGGCATTCCTTTCTGAGAGGGGAGGGGGGGGGGGAAAGAAGAAGAAAAGGAGAAATCGAGGTAATTCCGAAAAGCCGTGGGGATAAAGTCAATTGTTTGATATTTGGGTATCTGGGTATCATTATACCCTGAAACACATGGAAATCAATGGAATACGGAGTACATACGCGCACTTCACTTGTCTATCAATGTCTGAACGCCATGTGCTGAAGGGTTTTCATTTGATTAAATTGAAGATCTTTTACTCCAAAGAACCACTTCAACGCGAGATCATTCAGGGGTTCGAAACTCTAAATTCAAAGAGATTGAAAATCATGAATTCATCATGCATTCCGTAATTTCCATTATTCCTTTCTTCTTCGTACAGACTGTACAGTAAGTAGCTCACAGTAGCTTGGCTGCTTGAGAGTAGCTCGAGAGTAGTACATCACTTCGCATTCCGAAGAAGCATGAGTACAGTCCATCATACAGTACCTAGGTATGATAAGCATGAAGATGCGCAAAGTGTCAAGGTACCGGTAGCTTTCTCTCATGAGTCACATCAATGATCAATCAAATGCACCATTCACTCGAAGGAGAAATGGGGCAGGAGGGTAGCTTTCTCAGCAAGCAAGCTTCGTTCTTTGATGCGCTGGTTTCTGTGTGGTTGATTTCAAAATTGATTGGTATATAATTTATCAATTCCCCCCAGCTTCCTCCTGCAAGCTGTCGCTCCGTATCATCAATAGTTTCATTTACCCAACCAACCGAAAACTTCCTTCCAGCTGCACAAGTGCAAGCCTGCAAGCAATTCATTACTGCACATATGAACATGGGTCAAACATCAAGCTATCACGGTCACATCAATTTCTGGTATACGTATTCGCTGTTGGTCTGTAGCAATCGGATTTTATCACACCATAGAGAGTCCATACAAGAATGGTTTGCAACGCCTTCATTACTTACAGATCCAGCATCAAGGGGCCTCAATTTGCGAACACACGATGAGTCTTTTCCGTGCGGCCCTCTTTCGCGGTACCTACTTTGTATAACGTGATGTCATCAATTTCGTGGTGGAGGCGGTTAAGGCTAAATTATACAGGCCTTTTCAATTGAACAAGGGCGGGGTGCAAATTTTCAATTTTCTGTGCGCGATTTTTGGGCCTGCCGCTTGGAATAATCCACTTTCATGCTGGTCTATTGTACAATTTTCAAAAACTTTTATAAAATTCGACAGCAATTGGAAGACAGAGCGTTTTCGACTGTGTGATATGCATGGAGCTACAAGTTTAAACCGTCAGATTCCGGAAATTTTGGTTAATGTCATCCTATGTTCCACTACTTTGTACGTCTCTGGCAAAGCGATGCGAAATCACAGTAACACAAGCAAACATCGGCACAAATTTTTTCAAGGATGCTGCTTACTACGGTCCGAGGCTCGTTGCCGTGTGCATTTCACACCGATTCAGGCTAATCTTCCCCAAAAGCTTCCTGGTCTTTGCTGTGAAAGAACATATTCGATCTTCTATCTAGCGTTTCTGGGAAGCCCTTGCTGTGTGATCTGTGTGGACCATATCAAATAATGTTATATCCCGTGTAGGTTTTGAGACTCTCAAATGGCCGAGGGAAACTACAATTCCTACAGTCAAGTTAGTTTCCAAGGAACTTCGCATTCCAACATGAGTGTCACCAAAGTTCCCGCCCGAAAGGACTCCGGAGCCTTTGGAGAGAAGCCTTGAAGCCACGCACCAGTGCTAAATCTCACTTCGACCCCATTGCATGATGTGTGGTACTGACCGAGTAGTAGGTGCTCTAGACTCCACTCTCTCACATTTCATATATCGCAAGCGAGTAGATTGATTAGATCCAACTTATGTGCAGAATCCCGCACACGAAATATCACGCAATGAATGTACAGGCCCAGCTACTCCCTCATGGACATGATTCCAAATGCAGTGAGTCAGTGACTATGCTTTTCGCTGAAATTTTGTGCAATATTCAAGTAACGCTTCAACAAACCAGAGCTCCAGAAATACGCACGACGAGAACACACAAACAGTGAACTCTCACTTCAGCAGTCAACCTATAATTTCATTGGAAAATGCCATCGTGTTGGAACACGACCGAATGACCTGTGTTCCGTGTCAGCTATCATCAGCCTTTGAGTCTCGTCAAATCAAAACACAACTTTGAGTCCTCAGCTGCTACGATTTTAATCACATTGTACCGCCTCAAGCGAGTATTCGAACATGCGAGGATGGGGCGGTGAGCTGACACAAGGTAGACGCCAATATTAAGACACTAAGAGAACCAATTCAGATATTTTATATGCAGTTGAGCAATAGCAGACGTAGACTAAAAAGCAACGGGAATAATCAAGCGGGAGAACCTCATGCAAAAGATGCCACTTAAGTAGTGGGAAGCAATGGTAACCGCCTCGTTTCCTCGCGCGTTATGCCGAGTGCTTCGAGCAGACCATGAACGATTGATAGGAAGCAAAATTGAGAAAATAGGTTTAAGACAATTGGGTGTTTTGTGATGCCTTTGAGTGATATCCGTTCTCCAACAGGGCTTCGACTTCGGGATACATAATATTTTGAGAAATCAAATCTGTTGATCGCAAGTTGAGCTTGAACTTGAGCATTATGGCAAGTGTTATGCCCGCGCTACCTAGGTATTGTCAATGGAGGGGTAGTCTTATCGACACGTGACGATCTCTTATCTAGTCCACGTTCATGATGATACAGTGCCGGTACCGAGAATATTTTTCCACTCGCACAAAGCCAGCATTCCATCATCATACATCATTCACCATGCCAGTGAGTGAACCCTTTCAATGCTTTCCGATAATGATTTCCGACACCGCTGATACTATATCCTCGATGTAGCTCATAATACTGACCGGCTACCCTACCTCCGGTAAAACCTACCGGGCTACCCAACTTCGCGAATACTTCCTCGCAAAGATATCTTCGCTTCCTCCCAGCAGTCCCTCTTCCTCCCTCCGTGTTCACCTCATCTCTGACCACACTCTTGCCATTTCCCGCGAAGTTTACAACCTTGAATCTAAATCCGCTAATGAGCGATCCAATAATGCTAGTGAGAAAGATGCTCGAGCTACAATATACGGTGCGGTGAAGAGAGTGTTAAGTAATAAAGATGTGGTAATACTGGATGGAGGAAATTATATCAAAGGCTGGAGATATCAATTGTTCTGCGAAGCGAAAGCTATGAGAACTGGATGTTGTGTTATGCATGTTGGAGTTCCTGCTGATAAAGCTAAGGAGGTTAATGAAGCACGGTTGGAACGAAGAAATCTTTCACCTTCGGAACAATCTGCGCCGGAAGCGGAGATCAAGGAAGAGGATAAAGCATATGAAAAGGATAATTGGGAAAATTTAGTATTCAGATACGAGGAACCAAATGCGATGGTACGCTGGGACTCTCCGTTATTCACAGTCGTATGGGAAGACGAAAACGTACCAGGAGACGCCATTTGGGATGCTATAATTGGAGATGAATCGGAAGGAAAGAGGAAGATTGTCAGACCAAACGCAGCGACAGTAGCAAAGGTTCATAGTAGTGAGGGGTTCCTTTACGAATTAGATAAGACGACCCAAACGGTTCTCAATCGGATTTTGGAATGGAGTAAAGACCACCCAGGCGAAGGAGGAGGAGAAATCAGTGTTGGCGAGAATTCGAAAGGAGAGGAGCTGGTCGTGGAGTTACCTGGAGATCCTGTGGGACTGCCGGCGTTACAGCGGCTAAGGAGACAATTTATAAGTTTGCAGAGGACGAATCCAGTGACAGTGGAGAGGATTAAGGAGACCTTTGTGAGATATCTGAATGATAGTTTTGAAGCTTAGGGAGAGGGCGTTACTTTGGCGTTTGGCAGGCTGGAAACGGATACCCTAGAAATCAAATTATCTCGCAGAAGGTGTCATATATGCGAATATATCTTCGAAAAATGGTCCACTTATCTCCAACTAATACTTTTAGGACAGTTTTGCACACATGATTTTGGGGGCTTGGATAGCAATGTGAGACAAAGTAGGTGGGCGCTTCTCTATTGCCAAGAATCTAAGAATTTATTTTAATCCATGCTGCCGCCTTCTCGCCCCATTCCTCTCCTTCCCCAGTACTTAAAGCCATCGGTGGACTAATGTGATTATGACCTTCAATCTTGACGACCTCAATTTTCTCTTCCCAAATTTTCTCTCCAAGCTTTACAAAAGCATCATTAGGATTTAAAATCTCGTCCACAGGATCATACTCTGAATTCATAACCAACAATCTTGGAATGCCCAACTCCTCTCTTGATTTCTTGCTTTCTCCTACCGCTTTTAACAGTCCATAAGGACATCTCGCAAGAATATCCTTATCACTTCCATAATATTTCTCTAGCATATCATTACGACCAGCCAGCGCCTCTTCAAAACTAAACGGTACTCCCACCTCTACCGCCCCTTTCAACGACACATTGGCTTCTCCCTGCCATGATTTCCTCTCCTCGAGAAAGCGGGGCTCAAGGAGATATGTAGCTATGTGGAGTCCACCAGCTGAGTTCCCCATTAGATATACTTCTCTTTTATTTCCTTTGCCGTCTAACAGGTCGGTTTTGGAAAGCCAATGGAGAACGGCCGATACATCTTCACCTCCACTAGGGTAGATGGCCCCTTCACCACCTGTCTCGCTGTCCACGCGTCGATAATCAGGAATAATAGTTGTGATACCTTGTTTTGAGAAGAAAGAGCCCAAGTTGTGATAAACGAGTTTATCAAGGATTGGTACCTCGAGAATCTTATCACCACGAGTGAGTCCACCGCCGTAGAAGAAGATGAGAATGGGAGAAGTACTAGAGGCGGTGCTAGAGGGATAGAGATCGAGGGTTTGGCGGGGGTGAGAACCATATGTGTGCGTGCTGCGGGGAACAGAGAGGATGGCGTTGCGGTTCTTTTGAAGATGGGGGGCCAGAATCTTGATGGTGGGAAAGAGAATTTCCATAATGGAGGTGCCGGTTGTGAGGGAGAGGTTTTTGAGTGCTTCCATGGTTGCGGTTGTGGATTACATTAATGAGCAATTGGTGCTGTGAAAACAACTTTGTGTTCTTCGATACCAAATAACTTTCAAGCTTGGCAAATAATAAGAAAGATGCGTGTGTATGACCAGATGGTTTGAAGTACTCTTTACATACCAGTTATATCTTCACGAGCGGAGTTCCGCTCCATCATTGCTAGGTAGACGAGCACTAGCTTTGCCGTCCACATACGCAGCTTACCCAATAACACGTATGCATTTACGAGTCCATCGTACGTCCACTATCCACAGATGGGGATCCCACATAACATCGCTCGGTGGTCTCGGATTTAAATGGCGAAAGTGGAATCGGATAATTTCGGACAATTGAAATATCTCCTGAGACTCTGAGAGGCTTATACCCGTAAAAAATTGGGGAAGAATCCCTACGAAACTGAGATTGTGGGGGAGGAGCAGCGTCCACATGGAAATAGTGGACGGTGCGGACGCTCCCCTAGAATTTATAGTAGTTCTGCAAATGAAGCTTGTGGACGAGACAGTATATTTTCTTGCCATTTCCCGTCTTTTCTGTTCCAAATCATATCAATTCTTCAGAGAAAAGGTTTACTTTCTTCACCTCTCCACGTCTTCCCAGATTCCCAGAAAATCAATAAATATATACCTTTCAAAAATGGCCCCAGTTCCCCATCTCACTACTCCTCCTGGAGAAGCAACGCCCTACGTCCTTCCTTGTTTCACTGGTGAACTATGGACAATCCCAACCTCCAATTCCACGTTGCGATTACTTGTTACTGGAAATGAAACGAATAATGCTTTTGCGATAGTGGGAACAGGCGGAACTAAGGATAAGCCAATTGGGTTTCATTATCACAAGGAGGCTCATGATGTGTTCTTGTGCTTGCAGGGTACGCTGAATATATGGGCAAATGATGAAGCGAGAAGTATGGGTCCAGGTGATTTTGCCAGCGTGCCACCGGTAAGTAGATTTTGTGAATGAAGTTCGGGTTTGCCGTCTCTGTGATGGGGTTTCGGGATACAGTGAGCTAGTAGAGATTAGCTTTGTTGTATTTCTCTTCGAAATTTCAACTTACTATAAACACTCAAGCAAGTGCTAGAGTTCAAGATGAGATGAGACATCATTGAGACGGGATACACCATCCATATGTTACAGCTGCTGATGTTTTCTCTTTTTCAGGGAACTATCCATCAATATCAAATTGCTTCTTCCCACACCGAGTTCGTGGGCCTAATTATTCCAGGTGGTTGGGAAGAATTCTTCCGCTTCATTGGCGAGCCATATTCTGGCCCTCTATTCCCCACAAACGACAACCGCAATCCTCTCGAAGTTTTGGTTCCAAAACTTATGGCGGCAACTGAGAAGTTCGATATGATCCCAGTGCGTGAGAAGAAGCATTTTGATCCACAGCCATGGAATGGTACCGAAAATAAATTACCCGGAAAATGCGAGAACGGAGGATACTTCCTCAAGGAAGGAGAGGGAGAAAAGACAGTCATCGGTGGCACAGTAGTAAGAGCTATGTGTAGGAGAGAGGAAACAAACAACAGATTCTCCATCTATGACGTTTTAGGAAGCTCTATACATGCATCCAAAGCATTCAGCAAAGAAGTTCAATTTGAAGACACGCACCATGCTATATACACGGCAGATGGCGCGCTCAAGTTGACAATTGGCGGAGAGGAAGTCATAGCACCAGCAGGAGAAACCACATTTGTGCCCGCGGGAACAAAGTTCAAGCTTGGCTTTGAAACCGTCTATGCGAGAGCATATATTTTTGCTAATGGGGGTGGTATTGGAGAGCTATTGAATGGGCTAGGAAGTGTGTATGAGAGTGTGGCAGTACCAAATGAAGTGGAGGGAAGTTGGGACGCAGGAAAGTTGAAAGAATTGGAGGCAAAAATAGGAGATTTGAGTTTTTAAATGCATTTTATAATATGATAGAGACAAGGCAATTATAAGAAAAAAGGGGTATATTATATGCAAATAATAGAACTAGATCATATGTATGAATCGTTGATATATATTTGCAGTGGGGAGAGAAGTGATCTGAAGAAGGCAAAGATCACCAACAGCTGATTCATGATTCAAATTCTTTTCATTGCAGAATGATCACAAAGAACTTGAATTACTTTATAAAAATAAATTTTTGTTCTATTGAAACCTGATGTCGTGATGCTTCCCCTTCGTAAGACCGTATAGTAGAAACTAGTCCTGATGAAGGCTAGTGGCGCAATTGCATCGTCAATTGTATCATGAATTAAATCTGGAGCATTTCACCGTTGAGGATGCATCGACACCTGTTCGCAGATGTTATCACCGTATTTCCACTTACAAATAGCCAGGAGGACTTCTTAAATCTCAGTAATAACAGTCATTACCTCGAAATCATGTCTGACTCAAAACGTCCCTTGCTGATCAAAGGCCTACCGCGTCCACCCCGATCAAATCCATCGGCGTTATCCTATACCGAACCTCCCAGACTCAGGAACAAGATAATACGTACAAAGGCCGATAGCTTTAGAGGTGAATTCTCCTAAATCTCCACTATGATCTTATACTCATGACTTACTTATGTTTCACAGTTGTGGAATTCAACGGATCCGCAATTCCTCAGACATTTCTCGATCCATCCATTGTGCAGAAGAAAGCGCAGTTAGAGAGAGAACGGAAGTTGGAGCAGGAGAAAAGCACACGACAGCAGCTCGAGAGAAACCAGACACAGGGCTCTTCTACATCCTAATTGAAGGAGATGTGTTCAACGGCGTGCATTGGTATCACGTGAAGTTTATCTTCATGTTTGTTTGTTTTGGGATAATTTTTTGAGTACTACAATCCTCGATGACGGATTGATATCGGATGCTCAAACACATGTCGTGTACAAAGCTGTACTTTACAAACTTACATGACGTTTTACATGCGTAGGCCATCATGTGAATAGCAACAATAGGTATGAGTTACAATGCCTTTTTCGAGGTCCGAAGTCGGTCGAAGGATCGGATGATGGAGTCCGCGATTTCTTGAAGATATTCGGATACTTACATGTTTCGATAGATCTTATCTCTTGTCCCTTATGACCTCAAGATCTAGCCATGAGTTCGCTCTTCCTTAGGTCGATTCCTTGATTTTATGTAAGAGATGTAATACTATTCGGCGACGTCAGGACTCCTGTCACGGTTAATCACATACTTTGGATCTGGTGTGCATGAAGATGGATCATCAGAGCCGCCTCTTACTGCACCCCGCTTTTTTATATCTCATGAACTGATTGACCCTGAAAGCTTAAATTCCTCAGCATTGTGGCTGGCTGCCACAATACAAGGGAATTTATCCACGAACTCTGAAGCATGGCACATAACAAGCCTCGGCAAGAAGTTTCTGGAACTCGATATTGATGTTTTGGTTGGGCATCCTCAAAATAGGGCGTAATCGGCATTGGCTGCTTATAAGCACTAATTAATTCGCGTCGACGGGAAGACCAATAAGTGTACAATGCGATGTGTATCACCAGCTTATTATTCTCCGACGTGATCATATCTTTATGAAATTATCAAAATGAATCAAATAGGCCCGAGTCGTTCAGGTAAGAACTTCACACAAAAAAATTCAAATTTGTCCTCGTGGAACTATCTGCCTCTCGATTATGATACCTGTTATGTCGATTCACATACCACGACCTATTAAAAAGAGCCAATAAGTCGTATATCACACGTGAGTAAAGATAGCTGAAATCATGTATGTGTATGGAACAACACAGAGCAAAGTCTTCTCATCTCTATTGACAACCAGGAAACGCAAAGATTCCGAATATCTGCAATCTTCGTTCAACAGATATATTAGCTGCAGCATGTTGTGTCAACACAGGTGATTTACCGACATCATTCGGGACAAATATCCAAGGCTGCTTTTAGGAATCCTTATTTGCTCATCTAGCCCAGCATTCAAGAAGTACCTAGGTACTCTTCTTAATGGTGTTATTCCAGTTGTTCTGAAACTTCGAGCTTTAGAACCAAATCGAAATCAGCTCCTCTTGAATATCAGGATGAAGACATCGTTTTGATGCCTTTTGGCGAGATTCTAGAAGTTAAAATCTAGCTAAACCTAACTAAGTTTAAGAACGTCGAAATTTGTCTCCAAATTTCGCAGTTCCTTTGAACTATTCGATGACTAAAAGCGGCAGTCGCACAAATCCACCCTTACTTTGTATCTTGTACACTAATATTACTTATCTGGATTCACTTCCACTACAATCTTTGCAGACAGAGTCAACGTTGAAATTTGATATAAATTTCTTTCTCTACTGGTTGTGGGGCCCGAAAAAGACCATCTAGCTTGGGTCTGTCAAGCATGCATTTTCCGAAAAGCTGGCTTTGTGCGATCACCCGATACATGTCATGCAGCTTGGCTCATGAGATTTCTGTCCATTGCCATGTCTACATACACTATTCCCAATGAAATGCTCATGAAGACGGACGTGTCTGTTTACAGCCACAGTGCTTGTCCTGCCTTTTCATTTTGTCCAAGGTTTCAGATGGTACAGTCGTACTAACCATATTGTTTGCTCCTTCTTTGCGGGAAAATAAGTATTCGGAAGCACCTCCCAACATTGGATGGATGAATGCTTCTTTCAAACATTGAAGGATATTTGTGTCTTTTCATTTCCAAGTTCTCTTTTAGTGCCTTCTGGAATACATATACATTGACTTTCCCGCTGCATCAGCATACGTTCTAGATAATTTCCAGAAAACGTCTAGAAACTCAGCCAAAATGGTGTCATCTTTTAAAACTCTTGTCATTTTGGCATGTCTGCTAATGACTGAAGCTACGCCCTTGTGAGAACTATCTCAAATTAAACTTGATATCGGTGTTCACTAACACATATATAGACTTAAGAAGAAGGGGCTGAGCTTCGATTACAATGGCAGTAAGGTTCGGGGCGTCAATCTAGGAGGATGGTTCGTGCTGGAGCCCTGGATTACTCCGTCGTTGTTCTATGGGTCTTGGGCAGATGAGTGCGTTTCTCGTAACAAGAATCACCAATAGATTGAATAACATCGTACCCATGCTAGGTACACTCTGACTCAAATACTTGGGAAATCTGCTTCACAAAATCTATTAAACGCACATTGGGCAACCTGGATTACGCAGAATGATTTCAATGAGATTGCAAGTGTAGGCTTGAATCATGTCCGTATACCAATTGGATATTGGGCTTTGAATCCATTGCCTGGAGATCCTTATGTCCAAGGACAGTTGACTTACTTGGACAAAGCTATTGGCTGGGCGAGACAAGCAGGGTTGAAAGTGATTTTGGATGTTCACGGGGGTGAGGCACATTGAATGTTTGAATGAAGATCTTCGCTAACTTTTGCACAGCGCCAGGAAGTCAAAATGGGTTCGTTGATTGATATGACAGGAATAGTGGTGGCATCAAAAAGCTAATAGGATTCACAGGTTCGATAATTCGGGACGGAAAGGACCTGTCACTTGGACCCAAGGAAATAGTACCAAGCAAACGTTGGCTGCCATCCAAACGCTGGCCTACCGCTATGCCCCAGCCACAGATGTTGTGACTGGGATTGAGCTTCTCAATGAACCGGCGAATTGGGCTCTTGACATGGGAGCAGTTAAGCAATTCTACTATGATGGTTGGGGAAATGTGAGAAACGCGAATCCTGATACCGCGGTCGTCATTCATGACGCTTTTCTTGCTCCACCTTCATGGAATGGTTTCATGAACTACCAATCTGGAGTCAATGATATCATTCTCGATACCCATATCTATCAAATCTTTTCCTTTGCAGAGGTCGCCATGAAGCCTTGTCAACATATTCAGGTTGCTTGTAGCCAAGTCGGAAACCTGGCGAATACAGACAAATGGACAATCGTTGGCGAATTCAGTGGAGCACAAACAGACTGTGCAAAATGGTTGAATGGCTTCGGTGTTGGTTCTCGATACGATGGATCATATCCCGGGAGTCCCGCGTGGTATGGATCTTGCCAGACGAAAGATGTTGGGACAGTTGACGGGCTACTTGAAGTCGACAAAGTGAATCTGGCATATTTCATGGAAGCACAACTTGATGCATATGAAGCTCACTCAGGTTGGGTTTTCTGGACGTGGAAGACGGAATCTGCTCCTGAGTGGCACTTCCAAAACTTGACAAGAGCGGGATTGATCCCGCAGCCTTTGACGAGCAGAAAATACGGGAAGCAATGCGCAACTTCAGCTTGTTTGATTCCAGGCAACTGAAGATTTTCCGTACTGCTTCACAAGAAAACATGTAATTTCTTTTGGGGGTGATTCAAGAGAGCAAATACGGGCCCAATGATATTCATACATGCAATTTTTTGGAGGATGGCATTTTGGCGAGATTTACGATGCAATAACGATACCCCTTCATTCGCTCGGGGATTTGGGAGCAAGATAGATTCTAGTTATCGGGGAGCAGCGAAGAATTAGAGTGCAAGGCATGCCAAGAGAGGGGTAATTGATTGGTGTAACACCTAATGAATGAATGCCCCGAGCGTCCTTTTCCTGATCGTTAAGAATAGCACGTGAGGTACGAAGATAGATGAGAAAAAACAAATAGAAAAATGATGGGATGGATTGTATCGTGTGGTACGAATGCTTTCTTACCAGCAAGGTCAGCTCTGTGTGCATGGCTGAATCGTTAATGGAGTCGATAAAGTACCGGAGAAGTCTCTGGAAAGTGGATGGATGAGGTTTCTTAGGAGCCGGCAAGGTCACGATCCTCTACCAAAACTCGGTCTTAGTGTTTGCCTATTTCCCTTATGTCCTTCTGTCATTCTGCCAATTGTCCTTATTTCCTCTTTATTGTCATGGATTATACCCACCTACCTAGTCACATAAGGTGTTTGCTTCGATACTTCTAGTCTCTCATTGGTATCTACATTTCTTACCAACATTGCCGTAAGTATTTCCCGGGTATCTCCAAGCCACTTCTCCATTCCGTGGGTGGACTAAACTTGCGGCTCCCTCCTTGACCCCATACTTTTGAGCGGGGTTGGTCACAACATTCGAAGGATCCGACCGTTAGACTGTAACCCAACAATCAATTCGCCCCCACTTCTCCACTATTATCCAATTGTTCCGCTATTCCTTGCTTACCCAGCTGTCTACAATCACAGAATCAACAATTTGGAAGCAAGACTCCACAATCTACAGACTTGATCCCAGAGCTACTAAAAGTAGGAGCTGTTTCTTAACTTGGCTTAGGTAATGCAATATTTTCATCCTTCAAACCTTCTACTGAAGACTACAAAACACAATCCATTCCCTTTGTTCACTATCTTGGTTCTATCATACCACATTCTCCTTGCGATATAAAATTTTGATTAATTGTCTCCATTAAAAATATGTCTCCTTCCGCCACTGAAGCCATTGGCCCCACAGCCAAAACATCCAAAATCAACGATGCAGTTTCATCCTCAACTTCAATTCACACAATACCCCTCATCATCAACAACGAACCTCATCAATCTAGCCGAACTTTTTCCGTATATTCACCATCAGATAATTCACATCTTCACGATTGTGTATCTGCATCTGCATCTGATATCGAGCTCGCTTTGGATACAGCTCAAAAGGCCTACCCAGCATGGAGCAGATTACCGCCACCTCAGAAACGCGATATCTTTCTTCGAGCAGCCGAGATAATGCTGGAACAAAAGTCTACTCTCGAAGAAACCATGATTAAAGAAACCGGCTCGGACCCCATCTGGGCCGGATTCAATACTCACCTTGCTCGAGAAGGTCTTCTCGACGTTGCCGGCCGTATAAGTTCCATCGCGGGTAGTATCCCCATGACGTCAGAGGAAGGCCGAAGTGCACTTGTCTATAAAGAACCTTATGGAGTTATCCTCGGCGCTGCACCCTGGAATGCTCCCTACATTCTCGGTTTCCGAAGCATCACTTACGCACTCGCAGCTGGCAATTGTGCAATTCTCAAAGCACCAGAGTTTTCACCAATGTGCAGCTGGCATATTTGTGATATCTTACACAAAGCTGGATTGCCTAAAGGTGTATTAACATACATAGCAATTTCAAGTGAAGATGCTCCGGCGAGAACAGCACAACTGATTGAGAGCCCGATCATTAAGAAGATCAACTTTACGGGTAGTACCAGGGTAGGAAAGGTTTACGGAGAATTGGCAGGAAAAAATCTTAAGCCTGTGATATTAGAGTTGGGTGGAAAAGCTAGTGTGATTGTGTGGGAAGATGCGGATTTGAAATTAGCAGCTGTGGAGTGTGCAAAGGGGGCTTTCTTACACTCGGGTCAAATCTGTATGAGTACAGAAAGAATTCTTGTCCACAAGAATGTTGCATCAGAATTGTAAGTTTTCTATTCCTCATTCCTTTTCATTTATATCGTCATTCTTGTTCTGTTCAACAAGCAAAAGACAACGAAAGCACAAAATAAAACTAACAAATTATGCAGCGAAAAGGAGTTAGCGGCCGCTACTGCAAAAATGTTTCCTTCACCAACAACCCTCATCAACTCCCAAGGCGTCTCTAAAAATGCATCTTTAATCTCCGATACCCTCTCCAAGGGCGGCTCCATTCTCCATGGCACACCACCTACTGATTCTTCCCCCACCACCAAAATGTACCCGGTAATCCTCAAATCCGTTAACCCCTCCATGTCCATCTACCGAGAAGAATCTTTCGGACCCACCGTCTCGGTGATCGAAATCTCTACCGAGGAAGAAGCGATCCGTATCTCCAACGATACCGACTACGGGCTCGCAGCAGGCATCTATACCCGGGATTTACAGCGGGGATTGCGCATTGCGAAAGCGGTGGAAAGTGGTGCCGTGCATATTAATGGACATAATGGGAGTGTACATGACGAGGCGGGACTTCCGCATGGAGGCATGAAGAATAGTGGGTTTGGACGATTTGGATCGCTTGGCTTGGAGGAATGGGTCAGAACGAAGACGGTTACGTTTATGGATTAGAGATTGAGGATGGGAGATATGATAATGAATGTGAAACTTGAATAAATGAAACACGAATTTTATGTAAGCCAAATCGAATAAAGTTTACTATATTAATCTCATTCGTCGCCTAAGACTGCCTTTGTTTTAATACACTTTTTCGATTAAAATTGAATGATATAAACTTTCATACACTATTTTTGTTTAACTTGAAATAAGATTCATACTTATTGATGATTCACTACATCTACTATAGATATAAGATAATTTTCATTCAAAAAATGACTGAATAAAAATCATTTTTAGTCACATGCTTATAAAGAGAATAGAGCAAGGAGCAAAAAAACAAAAGCTAGCCAAACACTATCTAATAAAAGAACGGAGTCAAAGTTGTCAGAATCTGTCTTAAGCAAATCCATTGATCCATTGATCCATTGATCCATCCATCCCCACCCAGTATTCTCATCCACACCCCCGTCTCCACCAGCCCACAATCTTCCTTCCAGAAAACCTAGCTGCCTCTACTCCTCTGACTCCTTCCTCACATCCTCAACTCCAATCTTCACCCCCTTGGATCATTTGATCCAACCTCTGGTAACTTATCATGCTCCAACAATCATTCTACTCTCTCATCACCAGTATTGTAATTAGTATTTTCCGTATTTCAATTACGCCTTACTTTAGTAGTACGTATTGATATTTATGAAAATATTTTAGTAATTATTTACAAAATTATATATCACTGAGAGGATTCTATATTCTAATAATATCACATATTGTTAGAAATATATTGAACCACAAGAATTTATATATTTATACTTGAAAGTAATACATTATCAGTAATCTTTTTTCTTTTTAAACCTAAACTCTGTAAAATTTATAATATTTAATAGAAATATATAATGTTCCAACAAAAATAATATAAATTCTCATATTTCAGTATATCTTCATTATAATCCCTTCATATAATATATACAAATACAAATATTATTAATTATTATATATACTAATACATATAACGTAGTTTAACACCGAATGGCCCATATCACCAAATGGCCCACTTTTACCTCAATTTACACTTTCAAACTCATATTATTTAATAATAATTAAATCAATTAATTAAAATTATTAAAAATCTAATAATTTAGAATCTATTATATTATTTTAATAGATTCTTATATTATATTCTATTTTTCTATATTTATTATAATATTGATTAGAAAATACTTTTTTATTAAAATTCCCCTCTTTTTAATATTTATTATATTGAATTTAAATATTAATCTTTTATTAAGATAATATATCAAAAGTCTTTTATTTAATAAATATTTCTTTTTAATATAATTAAGTTTTTTTTATATATCAATACTTATTTAATACTTTATTTATTACTCAAAGTATATAATTCTTTGTATTTAAAAGTATATTTTTATAAGCTAATCTCTTTATATCCTTAATTAAAATTAATATAATTTTGAATATAGGTGTAAAAAAGTTTGATTAATAATAAATTATTCGAAATTTAATTAATATTAATTGAAAAAGAATTTTAATTGAATTATAAAGGATTTAAGAAATCTATTAATCTAAATTAAAAAAAGGGGGGGTAGGTATACAAATTCGAATATCTAATTTTGAGAATACAACTTTAGAATTAAATAGAATTAAATCTATTCCTCAAAACCCTATTTTTATATTCTAAAAAATGATTAATTCTTAATATATAGCTTTGAAAACTATAAAGAATTTAATTTTCGAAATATAATTGATATATACCTTAATAAATTCATTGATTTGAATATTATATAAATATTTCAGATTATTAAAACAATCAACATTAAATAACTAAATTAAATAATTTGAATACAATAATAAATTTAAATATATAATATTATTCTTTTTATAATATACTTGAAAAGCTATTAATTTATAATTTTCATATTCATTTAATATTAATATTCAATATTTATTCTCTTTTCGATTTTTAGTATATTTATTGAAGTATTTCAACCATTCTAAACCTGTTTTATTATTTGTTCATCTATTAAATATAGATTTAATAGCCTATTCCATAGAAAAATTGGTTTTAATATATTAATTGGAGAAATAAACCTATTCTTGAATTATTAGAAATAAAGAAATAGTTTTATTCTTTATATTTCTATATATTATTATTATAGTCCATTCTCGATTGTTTGGTTATACTGATTTATTTCTACCGTATTTTTTAATACTAATAATAATTATTGCTGTATATATAATCCCTATTATAAAGTTTATTTTATCGAAATTATAGAAATTGCTATTCAAAATACTATATTTTACTCATATATTTGTAATTAATTGAAACTATTTTTCAATAAGTTTAGGATTTTTATAAAAAGCTTTTTGAAAATTATAAATATAATTAAAATATATTTTTAATTTAATTCAATATTTTATAAATTGATATATTTAAAGTTTCTTAATATATTTTATATTCCTTGATTTAAAAATATAATTTGCTATATTTTTATATTTTTTAATTTAGATAAAAATCCTTTTAAATTTATATTAAATATATATTAAATAATTTTTTTTTTTTTTAATTCTATAATTTTATAATTATTAGTTCAAATT